GCAGGAATACTCTTCCACCTCTGCAGAGGCGTGAACGATTGCTGGGCCTAGTTGTTGTAGTGAAATTACACGCACTTCCTATCTAAAACAACAGGTGAAAAGATTAAATCACACACAGCAGTTATTCTAAGTCTTGTCAAAAGTTGTAAGTTTGTGATGACGGGGAAGGAAAACTTTAATACCTAAACCAGAAGAGATCATTGCTGGATGTAATCCTGTGGGGTAAGGTATAGCTTGTCATTTTAAAAAGCCAATAAATAGGCATCAGTGCTCTGCATGAGTTAACTCAATTGTCTAATTTATTTATTAGTATTTGAATTATTCCAAATTCCTATCTAATTTATTTATTTATTAGTATTTGAATTATTCCAAATTCCTATCTATTTAGCTAGCGAAGTGATGGGAAAGTATTTCAACAATAACTGGTCAGTGAAGCGGTGGGAGTTTACTCCAAAGCTACAGATTTGACTGATCGTAAATGGAAACGCGCGTTAAGAGTCATGAAATACTCTCAACATAAAGAGGAGCCTGGTCGTTTCAGTAGAGCGACAATGAAGAAGGAAGGGTTAATTCACAATTTCAGGCTAAGAATTAGAAGTTGAAAAACGTTCATTCCAACTATGAAATGTAACATTAGCAACAAATTAAATTAATGTATCCTGGGGCAGCTGGGATTTTCCTGGTAGCTGAGAACGCCCGCGTTACCGCTCACCCTAATACAGCGACACAAACCCTTTCCTTCAGGTAGCAATCGATTTTAGCGTCTATTTTATGGCTTGTTTTAGAAAAGTGTAATTTGCGTTATTATAAAATAGCACGCTTTTTGACTTCTCAGCCAGTTGAGGGGAAGCCAACTGATTTGGGGGGTAGGAGGGGGGGTGTGGATGACTTAAGCTGTCCAAAAGTTTCACGCCTGGGGTTTTCCTACACAGAACTGGGAGCTGACCGCCGCCCCGCTGGAAGCAACCCAAAGAGCACTTACACGTGGTTGAGAGCTGGACCTGCTAGCCACAACTGATGTTAAACAAATCCCTATGAATAAAGATTTCTACCGATAGTAACATTTTATGGAAAGCCTGTAGAGGCACGTTACTAGAGCGCAAATCCCAGGGTGGTCTTAAAATATATTCCAAGAGCTCATTATTTGCTGTTCAACTTTTCAGAGCGCAGAGAAGCCAATGTACCAAAAGGTTTACCTTATTTCTAGCAAAATTATGAAGCAAAGACTCCGGTAGCCTACTGCATGTTTATTGATAAACAGCATTTCCTTTTTGAAAACAGTTTGTGTTTTGTTTTGTTGTTTTTTTTTTTAAATTAACGTGATAAAAGTACATAAGCCTTTATGTGGACTTTAAGACAATTCACACGGGCGCTTGTGGCGAGGAAGCCATGTTCCAGCGCGCGGGGAAGGGGCACTAGGGCACGGTCCCCGCTCGCTTTGCTCCGCTTACCGAGTGTTCACCTGCAAAGAAGAGTTCACACAGTCAGGCCTAAGAAGTCCACGGGACACACAACAGTTACTTCTCCTCTCCTCAAAGAGCCTGGGTTTTTTTAGTCGCTTTCTTAACTCCTTACTTTAAGATACAGTATTTATAACGCATTTAATTTTGTTCCAATCGCAGTTATCAGAAGGCCAAATGGCCTAAGTAGCGCGTAAACTCAGACTACTACCCGATAGCTGTATTTTGCAGCGGAGCAAGTTAGATGACGCTAACTACCCTGCCGCTTGTGCAAAAAAAAAAAAGCTTAAACACAACGCTACGCAAACACTACTTACCACATCATCGATCTTCAGAATGCTGCGCACGGTTTCTGTTGCCAGAGTCAGCGCGCTCAAAGACACCAGCAGTGGCTGGACAACCAACTCCTCCAAGATGTTGGAAATGCCCCCCTGCGAGAACAAGCAGCTTTTACTTTGCGCAAGTCAGACTACGGTTAGGTTTAGCAAGTTTTCTTTCAGTAGAATCCCGAGAAGGGGATTAAATTAGCGTTATCAAAGGGCTCGTACTCCTCTGTCCTCAACGGGAATATGAGGGTAGGCATCTTCTCCCCCCAAGCCCTTCACGTATCCAGTCAAAATTAGCCAAGAGAAAAGATAAACATGGTTGTGCCAGCTTAAAGATGGCGACGACGTCCAAGGAGCTAGCCCACTCTGCTACTTGCAGCACGTGGGCACCCTCTGCTGCAGGTAACACTGATGGATCACTCCAAATGGATCTGGTTTTGTCGCTGAAACCCTGTTTTTGAAGAGACACAGGAAGTTCCTTGTCCCGTGGGCGTGGCATTGAAGTGTCTGCTATTACCCATACTCGGGATAAGCCGTTAATGCCTCAGAGAACAAGCTATCATCTACCTCGACGCTAATTTTAGGGAGAACACCCTTATGAGACGCAAACTTGCCCTCTCCTTAGTTTCGCCCTGACACTGAGCCTTATTCCTTCTAAAGCCCAAGTATTTTTTAAGCGATGCTGCGCCTATACGCTTCCTTGTTACCTTTCTGACGTTAATGCCCGCTGTTTTCTCTCCTTGCGCGTGCCTGTTTCTCAGCTCTGTTACCGTGGAAATGGGGTTGAGACCCGCGTTTTCAGCCAGCGTGGAGGGTATGACTTCCAGCGCGTCCCCGTACGCACGGACGCAGTACGAGTCCATGCCCCTCAAAGTGCGAGCGTACTCATTCAAGCGCAGGGCCAGCTCTATCTCCGGTGCTCCGCCTCCCGCGATTAAAGCTCTGAGGAAAGAAATTAAGAATCAAACCTCATTTTACGTAAGTGCACAAATGATTAGCTTTCCGTATTATTAATACAATCAATTACTCTAACCAAACGGAGACGTTACCTCTTCTTAACTAAGCATCTTATGACACACAGGGCATCATGGATTGAACGCTCGGCCTCTTCCAGAACAAGTTTGTTGGATCCACGTACCACGATGGTTACAGTTTTCCCAGGGTTTGTGCAGCCCGTAATCTAAAACAGAAAACCAAACGCTAAGACTGAAAACAAAAATGGTTCTGGACAAAAAAAAAAAAAAAAAAGGGCCTTAAGTTGGTATTTGCAAGATCTGTAAGAGCACTGATGTCTGGCTAAGCAAAACGACGACACTTCCCGAGTCGGTGGCTACTCGGGGATTAGAAGTAGGTACTTAAACGTAGTAACTTCAGTATTAAAAAAACCATTAAAATTAGCAGTTGTTATTAAAATAACCGGCAGATGTGAAGTAGGTATTAACACGTTGTCACTCCCTCACCTTTATTAGTTTCCCAGAACCGTTCAAGTTGACCTCCTCTGCCAGCTCCGCAGACCCCAGCATATCGGGAGTAAACTGGTCAATGTGAGCAACAGGCTTCGTTCCAATCGTCTGAAAAAA